CCCCCCCCCCCCTCTGCGGGGGGCGAGGCTGCGCCAGGTGATGAGCAGATCAAAAGACGATGGCATCTGGGAGGAGTACTGCCCCGGGCCCTTTGAGCAAAGCTCCCCGTGACCGGGCTGAGGTCACACACACATGGTCAGGGAGGGAGAGAGAGGGAGAGAGAGAGAGAGACCTGTTCACACACTAGTTCTAAACATACAACCTCTTGTGTGTACATATATATGTATATATATACATGCACATATATATTTGATTATATATATGTTTATAAATGTATATATATATATATATATATACACAATATAGTATAGTATAGTGTGTATGTTTCTGTATTTATTTATAGTATATATGTAGATGTGGGTATATATATATATATTTATAATATATCATATATATAATTGAAGTCCCTTATTTGTCCCACAAATTCATAAAAAAATATAAATACATGTATATATGCACACAAACATATATTTTTTACATATATACATATATGTGTATACATATTTATTTATATATATTTATACTATATAATTATAATTGTATATATAAATGAAGTCCCTTATTTGTCCCACAATGGGGTAATTCATAAAATATATATAAATATATGTATACATGCACACACAGAACATATAATTTTACATATATATATACACATATATATAAATGTTTGTGTGTTGTGTACCAGTAAATCCCAGCTGAGGTGGTGAGGTGTTGGAGGTCAGTGGACGTCTGTAGAGTAATGTGGTCTTGACTGTTTCCTCATGTTTGCGTCTCCGTCTGTAGTTGTTTTTTTTAGTAAATTCCCAGTGATTTATTTCCTCGTTTATTTCCCGGGCGTAGAGTTGGACCAATCACAGAAGAGCATGTCACTGATCCCAGCGTCGTGAATTTGACCAGAAACACAGATTTATGACAAACCCTGTTTTTAGGCATCTGAAAATAGCATGAAACGACAGAAGCTGACATTGAAGGTAGCCTGATGCATTATGGGTAAAAAAAACAAAAAAAAACCGAAGTCCCTGCTGCGCTATGATGTTCTGTTGTTGTCAGTGAGTTATGTCGACCATGTAACACACACTTGGCTTTTATTAGGGCCAGGACACGGGTCTGAGAGGAGATGTCTGTAAAACAGTGGGTGGGCTGAAAACACACACACACACACACACACACACTCACACACACACGCATCTGATTGGTAAGGGTCGCATCAGTGTGTGTGTGTAGATGTGCGACTCCTAATTGAGAAATACCAGTGCTTCAGGAGACGAGTTAGTCAACATGGAGAGGTCAGAGTGAAGGGTGTGTGTGTGTGTGTGTGTGTGTGTGTGTGACTTTAGGGTTAACAGCGTTATGGGAATGATCTCCTGGAATCAACGCATAGTTTCCCATCTTAAGGCCTCTGAGCCATTCATGACATTCCTGAGTCATGAGCTCCTTCTTTTCACCCAGAGAAATCTCAACTAAACCACGGCCAAGTGGGACATGAGCATGAACACACACACACACACACACACACACACACACACAGGATGCAGATAATGTGCCGTTTTGTGGTGTGCATCTTTGCACATAAACATAGTGGAAAATCAATACTGGATGATCTCATTGGTCCTTAATGGCTCGTATTCTCTGCTGGATGACCATCACAGCACTGAGCTGCTGTACTGCAGTGTTCAGGCTGCTGCTGGGGTCTGACGGCGTCTCTGCTGAGGAGAGGGTGGGTCGGGCCTCGGGGGCAGGAGGGGTGGAGGGGTATGGCTGTAAATGTGCTGGAAATGTGTGGAATCTTCCTTTAAATACATCTGATAACTTTTATGTTGTTGCATCTGCGAATAAAGGAATGGTTTTCCTCAAATGGTTCAACAAACAACACTTAAAACTTAGCTCAAACTTAGCTCAAACTTAGCTCAAATTTAGCTCAAACTTGGCTCAAATTTACCTCAAACTTAGCTCAAACTTAGCTCAAACTTAGCTCAAATTTACCTCAAACTTAGCTCAGATTTACCTCAAACTGAGCTCAAACTTAGCTCAAACTTAGCTCAAACGTAGCTCAAACTTAGCTCAAGTTTACCTCAAATTTACCTCAAACGTAGCTCAAACTTAGCTCAAGTTTACCTCAAATTTACCTCAAACGTAGCTCAAACTTAGCTCAAGTTTACCTCAAATTTACCTCAAACGTAGCTCAAACTTAGCTCAAACTCAGCTCACAGATAAGGAGTTAGCCTGTCTCTGTCTCTGTGTCTCTGTGTGTGTGATTTATATTAATGGGCGTGCAGTCGTTAAACTCAGGGGCTTCTTACTTCTACATTGGGACCTGAGCCAAAGTCTGCTGCAGGATTCTGCCAAAACACACACACACACTCACACACACACACACACACACACACACACACACACACAGACCGTTTCTTCTCCAAACCTTTGTTTCCAGTCTCAGATCTCTTCCTCTTTCTGCCGTTGTTTATTTTTCATCCATACTTCTCCATCTCTGACTCCCCTCCACATTCCCTCCCTTCTCCTCCCTCTCCCTCTCCCTCTCTCTCCCTCTCCCTCTCCCTCTCTCTCTCTCTCTCACCTCTTCTCCCCTAGGAGACAAATGATCCAGGCTCCCTTCTGTCTCCCCCCCTCCCTCCTTGATCGTTTCCTCCCCCTTCCTCCCAATCTCCCTCACCTCTCTTTCTACATCTGCTATCGCCATGTGGGAACATCTTTTACCCATCATGCCTCTCGGCGCCACACCGGTGTTAGGTGACGGTGTCAAATGGGGAATTTGGAGAATCCGCACCTCTCCTCTTCTCCTCCTCCTCCTCCTCCTTCTTCTTCTTCTCCTGTGAAAATCGCAGATATGTCGTTGGAACAACCAGGGATTGTGGGAATCAGAGGGAGAAAATCCTGGAAACCTGTTTGATTGTGTTGGACTTTACAGGACGTGACGCGATTGGTGTGTGTGTGTGTGTGTGTGATCGTAGA